GACACGTCAACTCCCAAGTATCTGAAAACATTCACTTCTTCCATACTCCTCCCCAATTTGATATCCAATTTTTCTTTATCTAAATCATTTGACACCCTCATCACCTTACTCTTTTCTATGTTCACTTTCAACTTTCTACCTTTACACACATTCCCAAACTCATCCACTAACCTTTGCAATTTTTCTTTAGAATCTCCCATAAGCACAGTATCATCAGCAAAAAGTAACTGTGTCAATTCCCATTCTGAATTTGATTCCCCAAAATTTAATCCCGCCCCTCTCCCGAACACCCTAGCATTTACTTCATTTACCATCTATAAATATATTAAACAACCATGGTGACATTACACATCCCTGTCTAAGACCTACTTTTACCGGGAAGTATTCTCCCTCTCTTCTACATACCCTAACCTGAGCCTCACTATCCTCATAAAAACTCTTTACTGCATTTAGTAACTTACCACCTATTCCATATACTTGCAACATCTGCCACATTGCTCCTCTATCCACTCCATCATATGCCTTTTCTAAATCCATAAATGCAATAAAAACTTCCCTACCTTTATCTAAATACTGTTCACATATATGCTTCAATGTAAACACTTGATCTACACATCCCCTATCCACTCTGAAACCTCCTTGCTCATCCGCAATCCTACATTCTGTCTTACCTCCAATTCTTTCAATTATAACCCTACCATACACTTTTCCTGGTATACTCAGTAAACTTATTCCTCTATAATTTTTACAGTCTCTTTTGTCCCCTTTCCCTTTATTATACAAAGGGACTATACATGCTCTCTGCCAATCCCTAGGTACCTTCCCCTCTTTCATACATTTATTAAACAAAAGTACCAACCACTCCAACACTATATCCCCCCCTGCTTTTAACATTTCTGTCATGATGCAATCAGTTCCAGCTGCTTTACCCCCTTTCATTTTACGTAAAGCAAAAGGGGGTAAAGCAGCTGGAACTGATGGGATCATGACAGAAAGTTTAAAGCAGGGGGGGAAATAGTGTTGGAGTGGTTGGTAACTTTTGTTTAATAAATGTATGAAAGAGGGGAGGTACCTAGGGATTGGCGTGAGACATGTATAGTCCCTTTATATAAAGGGAAAGGGGACAAAAGAGACTGTAAAAATTATAGAGGAATAAGTTTACTGAGTATACCAGGAAAAGTGTACGGTAGGGTTATAATTGAAAGAATTAGAGGTAAGCAGAATGTAGGACTGCGGATGAGCAAGGAGGTTTCAGAGTGGTAGGGATGTTAGATCAAGTTTTACATTGAAGTATATATGTAACATATTTAGATAAAGTAGGGAAGTTTTTATTGCATTTATGGATTAGAAAAGGCATATGATGGAGTGATAGAGGAGCAATGTGGCAGATGTTGCAATATATGGAATAGGTGGTAAGTTATTAAATGCTGTAAAGAGTTTTTATGAGGATTATGAAGCTCAGGCTAGGGTGTGTAAAAGAGGGAGACTACTTCCAGGTAAAAGTAGGTTCTTAAAATAAATAAATAAATAAATAAATAAATAAATATATAAATATATATATATATATATATATATATATATATATATATATATATATATATATATATATATATATATATATATATATATAAAATATAAATATATATATTATATAAATATATAATATATATATATAAATATAAATATATATATATAAAATATAAATATATATATATATATAATAATTATATATATATATATACATAATGTATATATATATATATATATATATATATATATATATATATATATATATATATATATATATATATATGGGTCATCCTCGAAAGGGTTGAAAAGAGGAGGTAAAGGAGGTTTTGTGGGCAAGGGGCTTGGACTTCCAGCAAGTGTGCATGAGCGTGTTAGATAGGAGTGAATGGAGACGAATGATACTTGGGACCTGACGATCTGCTGGAGTGTGAGCAGGGTAATATTTAGTGAAGGGATTCAGGGAAACCGGTTATTTTCATATAGTCGGACTTGAGTCCTGGAAATGGGAAGTACAATGCACTTTAAAGGAGGGGTTTGGGATATTGGCAGTTTGGAGGGATATGTTGTGTATCTTTATACGTATATGCTTCTAAACTGTTGTATTCTGAGCACCTCTGCAAAAGCAGTGATAATGTGTGAGTGTGGTGAAAGTGTTGAATGATGATGTAAGTATTTTCTTTTTGGGGATTTTCTTTCTTTTTTGGGTCACCCTGCCTCGGTGGGAGACGGCCGACTTGTTGAAAAAAAAAAAAAATATATACAGTGGACCCCCGCATACCGCACGCATCGCATACCGTACAATCCGCATACCGCTCGCTTTTTTCTCAAAAATTTTGCCTCGCATACCGCCCAAAAACCCGCTCACCGCTCTTCGTCCGAGACGCGTCCAATGTGCGGCCTGAGCCACGCTCACATGTTCCGCCGGTGGCATTGTTTACCAGCCAGCCTCCGCGGTAACATCCAAGCATACAATTGGAACATTTCGTATTATTACAGTGTTTTTGGTGATTTTTTCTGGAAAATAAGTGACCATGGGCCCCAAGAAAGCTTCTAGTGCCAACCCTACAGCAATAAGGGTGAGAATTACTATAGAGATGAAGAAAAAGATCATTGATAAGTATGAAAGTGGAGTGTGTGTCTCCGAGCTGGCCAGGTTGTATAATAAACCCCAATCAACCATCGCTACTATTGGTGGTACAGCTGCTGCTGCTGCTGTACCACCGTCAGCTGCTGCTGCACTGTCAGCTGCTGCTGTTGTACCAACATCAGCTGCTGCTGCTGCTGTAGTACCGTCTGCTGCTGCTGTAGCATCGTCTGCTGCTGCTGTAGCATCGTCTGCTGCTGCTGTAGCATCGTCTGCTGCTGCTGTAGCATCGTCTGCTGCTGCTGTAGCATCGTCTGCTGCTGCTGTAGCATCGTCTGTTGCTGCTGTAGCATCGTCTGCTGCTGCTGTAGCATCGTCTGTTGCTGCTGTAGCATCGTCTGTTGCTGCTGTACCACCGTCAGCTGCTGCTGCTGCTGTAGCACCGTTGTTGGTGTGGCTTATTGAGAATACCAAGAAACAATTAACCCCAGAGGATTTGCCACCCAGGATAACCCAAAAAAGTCAGTGTCATCGAAGACTGTCTAACTTATTTCCATTGGGGTCCTTAATTTTGTTCTCCCAGGATGCAACCCACACCAGTCGACTAACACCCAGGTGAACAGGGAAAAATGCCTGGAACTAGTGCTCATATTGGTAAATTTAAAGCCAGCAAAGGTTGGTTTGAGAGATTTAAGAATCGTAGTGGCATACACAGTGTGATAAGGCCTGTTCTGGAAGAAAATGCCAAACAGGACCTACAGTACTCAGGAGGAAAAGGCACTCCCAGGACACAGTGTCTCATCAGTCATTGCTGCATCTTCAATAAAGGTGTCATTTATTCTTCATTTAGTAGAGTAGTACATGCACAATATATATTGTGCATGTACTACTCTACTATTGTGCATGTATCCTTCTCTTTGTGTGTAGGAAAATGTATATTTCATGTGGTAAAATTTTTTTTTTCATACTTTTGGGTGTCTTGCACGGATTAATTTGATTTCCATTATTTCTTATGGGGAAAATTCATTCGCATACCGAACATTTCGCATAACAATCAGCCCTCTTGCACGGATTAAAGTCGCTATGCGGGGGTCCACTGTATATATATATATATATATATATATATATATATATATATATATATATATATATATATATATATATATATATATATATACACGTAAAATATTAAAGTATTGTTTTATAAGGGCAATATTTGCCTATATCCTATAGGTAAATATTGCACAGGAAGAGGAACATGATATATAAAAATGAGTGAAATTTTTCACATCAAAACCAAAAATCTTACTACCGAGAAATCTTTCAACGAGCATAATTATACTTTGAACTGAGTAGCGAATCTTATTCTCAAATATTTCTTTTCACTGACAAAAAATAGTTTTGAGCTTATTAGACACTTGAAGAAGAAAAATTCTGATATGTGAATTCATAAAAATAGAAACCTGTCCATTATGCCACTGGTGACAGAATAATTACATTAACATGATTTTTTATTTTATGTACAGTAAGCTCTCCTATAAAGTTCCTCTATAGAGTGCAATTTTTGTAAATACAATTGAAAAAGCACACCCAAAATTGAATAGCATGTGAAAAAGATTTCCTAGCCCATGCTAGTCAACTTTGGTTCATTTTTACAGTTGCATTTGCAGAAAATGGCACTATACTATATACAATAGCTAAACAAGACAGCTTACTGTATGACTGACAATGACAAGAAGTTACTAAAAGTAACTAAAATCTAATCCAATTTTACATACTGTACTTATCAAGAACATACATTTTAGGTCATCATTAGAATATATTATATTTTACCTTTTTCATTATAAAATTTTATGAATCAGACTCAAGATGGTGCAATATGGTAAGTCACATTAGGATGTGCAGTGCAGTAAACCCTCTTATAAAACAACATTCCATAAAACAATTTGTCTAAACCTGATTGAAAAAGCATCTTATTTTTGGGTAGCTCTTGAAAAATCCTTAATAGTACACTCCATAAATGTGGAAGCATTGTGCAGAAAATCTCAGTAGTGTACACCACAGATTTATTTCCTTGAACCAAAGTTGGGCCTTATGGTCAAGTGTTTGGAGAGGTACAGCTGCTTCTCTCACCTATGCTTCCTCCAGTTGATTTCTGAGAGCACCATCTGCCTTACTCAGCGTGTTTATCAAACTATTTTTCCATCTTTTCGTCATCCTGTCTTATCTTGGATATTATCCATGGTACTTCAGAGGAATTCCTAGCTGACTTTGCTCAAATTATTTTCAAGAATAGTTCCAGTCCCCACCAAGTGTTTAGTGCTGATGATAAGGGGCTGGGCTATCTTGGAAGTGTATGCCATCGAGAATGTGCATTAGGAAAAAAAAAAAAAAAAAAAAAGTGGTTCTTGTCAAGACAGCTAAGGATCATTTCACCTTGCTTTATGCAAATGAAATAGGTGAATTAAAGTGAAAGTCTTTGCTAATTTATCACAAAGAATGCTTGTGCTTTAAAAGGTCAAGACCAAATACAGGCAAAAACCTGTTTGCCTGTTATTTGGCAATTTAACAAGGAAACATGGATGACAGGCTCTGTGTGTTGAGTGGTTAAAGCATTACTTTATTCCTGAAGCCAAAGTGTACTTGGTCAAGGTTTTCCTCTCTTAATAATTCCCATACTCATCCTCAAATCTCGGAGTCTATGAACCCAAATGTAAAAGTTGTTTTTTCGTCACCCAATCCAACATCTCTGATACAGCCACTGGATCAAGGAGTTATTATGATAAGTGTCACTGCACATGCCAGGTACAGTAATGAAAAAAATAATTGGAGAAATGGATAACAGCTCGGAGACTGGCATGCCAGACTTTTGGTATAAATTTACTATTACATGTACAGATGCACCTGTGAATGTCAAAGTATCTTGGAAAGAAATTCCTCGGTCAGTAAACAATGGGATTAATTGTGGTTTTCTGTTGTGAGCAAGTTCTCTGGGTTTTCCTCAGCAAGGAGTCAGGTTTAGGAAATTGCGGATCCAGCAAGGACTAAGACGTGAGGTTTTGGAGATATGCATGAACGTGACATATGTGAAATACATACTACATGTATTAGAATAGGATGTGTGAAGAACCAATTGCAGAAGAAATCCTGGAGTATCTCAATTCCAAGTTAGTAGAGAGGTAGCTTACAAAGAAAACGAGGAAGAAAAACTTGAAGATAAACAGTTACAATTGCAGGAGTTACAAGAGTAATTTTTCACTGAAAAATACCTTAACAAATCTAGAAGAACTGACCTGAAAGAGAATTCTGGAAAGCAATGATGCCTTATTTTTAGCTGTAAAAAGTATTGCAGGGTCAAACATACAAGATATGCATTACCTAATACAGTGGAACCTCGGTTTTCATCATTAATTCGTTCCAGAAAGTCTGACGAAAACTGAAGCAATATTTCCCTTAAGAAATAATGTAAATCCAATTAATCTGCTATAAACACCCAAAAGTATTATCAAAAAATACATTTTATAGAGAATAATTATAGTTGTACATACAGAAAACAATGAGAAATCAATATAAAGGACTAATGAAATGGATAAATGAACATTTAACATCACTTTTACCTTAACTGAAGACTCTTGTTGGCATATGGATGACAGCGAAGAGGAGAGAGGGAGGAGAGGTTATCTCTACCACCATCACTACCACCCTTTACTACTATCACTACCACTCTCTACCACCATCACAACCACTACCACCCTCTAATGACAAGAAACAAAGCCAGATTGATTCAAAATGCATGGGATGCTTTGTGTGGGTGCGGGCGGACACATTCGGTACAGCAGATCACTGCCAACTCGACGAAAACTGAGGTGACGAACGAAAACCGGGACAAAATTTTGATGAAAAAAGCCATCGAAAACTGAATTCGACGAGAAACCTGGGCAAATGAAAACCGAGGTTCCACTGTACTTAAGCATTCCAGTACAACCATCAGCTACTGGCAACTCTTCGTACACATTACAGCAAGAACCACATCCATTCACCTAAGCCCAGTAGTCATATCAACCTTCTCCACATGCTTCCATATCAAAGAGCAATGACAACTATAATGTAAGGCAAGATAAACTGTCAATCTGTACCTAGAAGAAAGTCAAAAAAAAGATAATCAGCAAATTTGGGGGTCACTGGAGCAAGACCCTATTTCTATTACCTTCACTTCGCAAAGCTATTTTTCATAATGCATTGATTTTCAAACATCCCTGTATTGAAAGAGTGTACTGTTTTTTTTTACTAATGTTTTACCCGATATACTTTGTTAATACCAATGCTGCTAAAGAATTATGTGCCAAATAATCTTTGAAACATTTTTAAGTTATTTATCCAGATATTAACACCTATACATACTTCAGTTAAATATCAAAGTCCCACTTTGTATATGCAGCTTACAAACTGGGCATTCTACCACAGTGTCCTCAGAAACCCCTGAATATGTTTTCAACTTAACCTAAATGTATAGTGAAGGCATAACTGAAACATAATGGATATTGCATTAACACATTTTTTCTTCCAATGGGCATGCATAAAGTTTTGTGCTGCACTCTTTTCATTTAATAGTATGAGGATATTAGTCCAAAAAGCCATTCATCACTGTCAAGTAAAACAATGATGCAAAATATATTAGATGTGTGTAACTTTCTGGAATGATAAAATAGTATTTATAAATCTCTTATTAAGTTAGTATTGTATAATCTGCAATAAATTATAAATGATACATATTTTCATATAATTTTTACCACACAAAAACTGAACAAAAAACAATTCTCTCTCCCCTAGCTTTGGCTTAACAAAATGACTTTAAATCGTATAGCTAAAAAAAAAAAAAGATAATATACATTTGTAAGATGTTTTATATAAAACTACATTTCAAAATATAAATCACAAAGGAGGTCAAAATATGAATTAACAGCTTCTCAAGACGTTTGGTAGAAAAATGTACTGTATATGGTTATCTTGCAAAACAATTCACAATAACAAATCAACCACCTTATACCTGTCAAACAAAGAGGATTACAGGTCATTATTTTGAGACACAAAACGTGGTCTCTTTAATAAAGTCTTCAGTGCTGCTTTTGATAGAGCACAGTAAATGTTCCAATGGTTGATAAGCACCACATTCAAGGCATCTGAAAATTTTTTTCGAAATAAACTAACTTCCAAATCTTGCCAAAAAAAAAAATGTATAGTGAATGAGAGGAAGTATAGTATTCTTTTTATCTATTTTTTACGTTAAATTAACAATACCATTGTATATTATCAAAATCGCTGCATTTCGAATAGGAGAAATACCCTGTCAGGTCATAGAAGTAAATTATTTTTGCCACGGTTTTCTATCAACTCCTTTATTTTTTGGAATGTGCTTGTGTTTGCAGGCATCACCAAAGGCACATCCTGTTGTGCGCCAAAAATAACATTCATCACCATTAACTGGTCCCTTGAGTTTGGCGCCGTTTGACTGTAGATGAGCCTGAACCTGGGCCTGGGCCTGGGCTTGGGCGTGGGCTTGGGCAGCAGTAATGATAGTAGTACCTGGGACACCATTAACTTTCACGTTGCTGCCATAAAGCAAAAGTAAAATGTGTTATTTTTCAAGATTAATTTAAGAAAAAGAAAAATCTTATTACAAAATCCTGTATGTTACTTAAAGCATATAAAGTACTGTATGTAGCAAGCAAAATCTTAAATGATGCCTCAGAGATCAATAGTTAGCTGAGCTCCAATAATGGAGAAATATGAAGAAAATTAAGTGAGCTTTAGCTTAATACATATCTGTTGATTAACATTCAATATACAGTACATGACAGAATGGCTGAGGGGCAAGAGATGAATGAAAAGGGTGTTACAGAAACAATGCAAGGATAACGGAAAAAGAAAAAAAAAAGGCCGTGTAGAAATTATACAGAGTATGACTTTTGATGCTGTGCAATGCCAACTTTCTGCAAAATGAGAATAAATGGACATACGTATAAGCCTCACCCAACAAATCACATTAGCATGTTTTCAGAATAATAAAAAGTAGAAATAGTGAAGAATTTGCCAACATAATCATTGTATGTAAGAGAAGGAAGAGGTGGATGAGATCTACAGTACTGGTATACTCTACTGCATACATAATCTATCCCACTTCGCATGCTAAGGGGGGGCGTTCACTGCCACATCAACAGTTAATAACTGCTGGTTGATTTTCATGAAAATTTTCTATGAGTAGCTGGGCTATTTTTAATAAAAAAAAACTTGGTTCTGACAAGTTTTCTTTCTTCCAATCATTTCAAAATTATTTAAGCTCAGAACTCGTGTGCATTTTCGCATAAAACTAACAATGACTCATATACCCCCAATCCCTAATGTGCTTACCAGGCAATATTTACCATATAGCTCAAAGTAACCAATTAAAAATATCTGCCATATTTTATATATAAGAATGTTATTGTTCATGTTAGTTAAAAGCATCTTATGCTGACTATTTACAAATAGTTCACCTACAGTATATACATTATTATTCTTTAGTACAGTAAATCTCAATCTCCCAAATCTATCTTTTACTGTTCAAATTGAGATTATGCCAAAGAGAAAGAACCAAACTTTCCTTTTACTTTTATTTTTATCAAACGTTGATATATCAATGATCAAATTTCTAATTTTTTGACTGCTTGTTGAAACTCAATATATGAGCTCCATATCCCTCACAAGAATATATTTCACACAGCATACGGTTTTAGGTTTCCTCTGGTAAAGCATTATTTAACCCATCCTTTTAACAACAGATACTATGCATTGTTATAAGAACAGTTAAATGGGTGGTTGTTGATGGTGCCTTGAACAGTTCAAATATGAGCGTTTTACATGAACCATGCACAGTAGGTGCCCATTTTCTGTTTGTGCAGGAGACTATAATTTTTTATCTTATATTTAGAGTTTTTTAATTTTAACCTAACCACACCTAACCTAACCCAATGTAACCTAACTTAACCTAAGCCAACATAACTTAAACTAACCCAACCTAAGATAACCTAATCTAACCCAACCTAACTTTGAAATGAACTGCAAATCCTATGTGAAAGTTTGACATAGTTATTAAGAGGATGGATTTAGTTATGGTTAAATACTGGAAGGTGCTACTTCCTCATAGTTACTGACCAATCTCATGGATTTTTTTTTTTTAAGCCGTATCAGTGCTACTGGATTATCTTAAATAAAAACATGTATTACGAACAAATACTATGATCTGAAAAAAAAAAAAAAAAAATTCACCATCATTGTCTTGCCAGAAGTGCACTGATACTACAGTACAGATGCTCCTCCAAACTGCATGAATGCATGCATGTATATGTATGTGCACGTGTGAGCATATTGTGTTTTTTATATATGGGAGGGCCCTGCTGTACAGTGTTTTGCTAATGCAGCAGTTTTCAATTACAACTATTCATTTATTCAGACTTCCTATAATAAATATATTCACCAATCACTATAAGCTTAGGATGAAAATATTTTAAGGCAAGTAATGTGTGTACTGTATATGCATCGTTTAGGCCTAGCTTTATTGCTCACTTAACATATAATAGCGTCAACACGTTACCAGGCTTTTACATGCATTTGCAAGTGAAAAACGCCATAACTCACTTTATAGCGATTTTTCGCTTTACAGCAGTAGCTTGGAACCTAACCTGTCATATGAGTGGTATGTATGTATGTACGTATGTTTTTTTTTTAACGAATTGGCTGTATCCCACCGAGGCAGGGTGGAGAAAAAAAAAAAAAAACTTTCACCATCATTCACACATAATCACTGTTTTTGCAGAGGCCCTCAGATATGACAGTTTAAATGACACTCCAGCCATATCCTAAACCTCTCCTTTAAAGTGCAGGCATTGTACATCCCACCTCCAGGACTCAAATCCATCTAACTGGTTCCCCTGAATCTCTTCACAAACTATTACCCGGCTCACACTCCAACAGTTTGTCAGGTCCCATTTGTCTAAATTCACTCCTATCTACCATGCTCAAGCATGCCTGCTGCATGTCCAAGGAGGATGGAGGGGGTAACCCTCCCTCCATCGTTTCCTAGGACGACCCTTACCCCCACCACTACAGAGTTATACCCCCTCCAAGTCATGCTATTTTGCTTCATCCTCTCTAAGCGAATAAACCACCTCAACCCCTGTTCAGCCCTCTGAATAATACTTTTAGGAACTCCACACCTTCTCATAATTTCCACAGTATGAATTCTCTGCATAATATTTACACCACACATTGCCCTTAGACATGACATCTCCACTCCCTCCAGCCTCCTCCTTGCTGCAGTATTTACAACCCAAGCTTCACATTCATATAAGAGTGTTGGTACCACTATACTCTTGTACATTCCCTTCTTTGCCTCTATGGATAACATTTGGTCTCCACAGATACCTCAATGCACCACTCACTTTTTTTTCTTTATCAATTCTATGGTTAACCTTATCCTTCATAAACCCATCCGCTGACAAGCCTACTCCTAAATATCTCAACACATTCACTTCTTCAGTACTTCCTTCCTCAACATGATATCTGATTTTTCTCTACCTAACTCATTTGATACCTTCACCACCTTACTCTTATCTACAGTATGTTCACTTTCAACTTTCTTCTTTTACACGCACTCCCAAACTCGTCCACTAACCTTTGTAACTTCTCTTTAGAATCCCCTAAAAGCACAGTACCATCAGCAAAAAGTAACTGTGTCAACTCCCATTTTGTATTTGATTTCCCATAATTTAATCCCACCCCTCTCCCCAACACCCTAGCATTTACTTCTTTTAAAACCCCATCTATAAATATGTTAAACAACCATGGTGACATTATACATCCCTGTCTAAGGCCTACTTTTACTAGAAAGTAATCTCCCTCCTACACACCCTAACCTTAGCCTAACTATCCTCATAAAAACTCATTACAGCATTTAGTAACTTATTACCTATTCCATACACTTACATCATCTGCCACATCGCTCCCCTTTTCTAAACCCATAAATGCAATGAAAACTTTCCTACCTCTACCTGTCTTACCTCTAATTCTTTCAGTAATAACCCTACCATACACTTCACCTGGTATACTCAGAAAGCTTATTCCCCTATAATTTTTAGTCTCTTTTATCCCCCTTCCTTTTATATGAAGGAACTATACATGCTCTCTGCCAATCCCTAGGTACCTTCTCCTCTTTCATACATTTACTGAACAAAAATACTAACCACTCCAAAACTATATCCCCACGGATATAGTTAAGCGTGTATATACAGTATACATATGTATGTATACATACATACATACATATGCTGTATACCGTGTATTACTGTACTGTACTTTCTGGCAAAAAAGCAAACAATAATGTTGTTAACAAATATTCACGTATAGTTACGTGAACGAGGAAAATATCAGTAATATGCCAGTACAGAGTACTGTATAGGTATGAATGTTATTTCCTCATAATGTCCTGATTTAATGTTTATGTAGAATTCAGTGATTTATAAAAAAGAAATTTAGTACAGTAGTACCCTGAGTTTCGGCCATAATTCGTTCCAGAAGGCTGTTCAAGTGCCGTTACCAAACGAATTTGTTCCCATAAGGAATAATGTAAATTAGATTAGTCAGTTTCAGACCCCCAAAAATGCACTTACAAAGGCACTTACAATAATACATTTATATAATTGTTCAAGTTGGGAGCTGTACGAAACTCGGGGTACTACTGTACATTGAAATTACTCCATAAATAGCTTTATAACACAAAAAAGTGGGTTCAAAAATCAATATTCCTGGGAAAATGCTTAATGCATTCTTTCCATTTTATCCTACTTGGTACTATATTATAATTCCAGAAGTGATTTTAAAAAACAAAAAAAAAAATGATGGCTTGTTACTAGCTTATGGCTAGTATGAGGTTATAATATAAAATGTAATTACGTATGAAAATGAATGAAATGAGTGCTTGGTCATGCCACACCAAAGAGGATTATATGGCTAAATTATCAACCAATTTTGCTGACATTTTCTTATTTAACAATGTATTACAAAAAAACCTGCATATAAAATGTTTTCAGAATATGAGCAAGAGTTTTGGAGACTTTTTTTTTCTTTTTTAAACATTGTATCTTCATAACCCTTGCACATAGGTAATCAGAAACAGATACACACAATTTGGCATTAAGCACCAACAAACAGTACAGAGCAATCTCTAATACAGTGGAACCTCGGTTTTCGTATGCCCTAGTTTATATGTAAAACTATAGTTATTCTCTATAAAATGTATTTTTATTTTTGAGTGTCTGGAACGGATTAATTGGATTTACATTATTTCTTATGGGAAATATTAGTTCAGTTTTCGTACGATCTGGTTTATTGTCAGACTTTTTCGAACGGATAATCACGAAAACCAAGGTTCCACTGTATATATATCTGGAAAGATAATATATGTAAGTTTAATAGTAACCAAAATAAAATATACAGTATATCCATGCCCTTGCTCCCCAGAGAAAGAATGAATTTTCTAAATTACTGTTCACATTTACACATTTCTTTTGAAATG